CAGTTTGTTCCAATCCCCTCCCAGTTTGTTCCAATCCCCTCCCAGTGGCTCCCAATCCCCTCCCAGTGCTCCCAGTTTGCCCAGTTACCTGTGTGGAGTGGTGCCCCGAGCCCAGGTATGCGCTGAGCCCCCTCCCAGTAACCCCTCCCAGTCCAAACCAGTCCCTCCCAGTTTGTTCCAATCCCCTCCCAGTTTGTTCCAATCCCCTCCCAGTCCCTCCCAGTGCTCCCAGTTTGCCCAGTAACCTGTGTGGAGTGGTGCCCCGAGCCCAGGTGGGCGCTGAGCCCCCTCCCAGTTTATCCCAGTTTATCCCAGTTTGTTCCAATCCCCTCCCAGTTTGTTCCAATCCCCTCCCAGTGGCTCCCAGTGCCTCCCAGTTTGTTCCAATGCCCTCCCAGTTTATTTTAATCCCCTCCCAGTGGCTCCCAGTGCTCCCAGTGCTCCCAGTAACCTGTGTGGAGTGGTGCCCCGAGCCCAGGTGGGCGCTGAGCCCCCTCCCAGTTTATCCCAGTCCCTCCCAGTGTTCCCAGTAACCTGTGTGGAGTGGTGCCCCGAGCCCAGGTGGGCGCTGAGCCCCCTCCCAGTTTATCCCAGTCCCTCCCAGTGTTCCCAGTAACCTGTGTGGAGTGGTGCCCCGAGCCCAGGTGGGCGCTGAGCCCCCTCCCAGTCCCTCCCAGTGCTCCCAGTGTTCCCAGTAACCTGTGTGGAGTGGTGCCCCGAGCCCAGGTGGGCGCTGAGCCCCTCCCAGTTTATCCCAGTCCTCCCAGTGTTCCCAGTAACCTGTGTGGAGTGGTGCCCCGAGCCCAGGTGGGCGCTGAGCCCCCGGGCCAGGTTGGGGTTGTGCCCCCCAATCCCCTCCCAGTGCCCCCCAGTCCCTCCCAGTTTGTTCCAATCCCCTCCCAGTTTGTTCCAATCCCTCCCAGTTTGTTCCAATCCCCTCCCAGTGGCTCCCAGTGCTCCCAGTGTTCCCAGTAACCTGTGTGGAGTGGTGCCCCGAGCCCAGGTGGGCGCTGAGCCCCCGGGCCAGGTTGGGGTGTGCCCCCAATCCCTCCCAGTGCCCCCAGTCCCTCCCAGTTTGTTCCAATCCCCTCCCAGTTTGTTCCAATGCCCTCCAATCCCCTCCCAGTGGCTCCCAGTGCTCCCAGTGTTCCCAGTAACCTGTGTGGAGTGGTGCCCCGAGCCCAGGTGGGCGCTGAGCCCCCGGGCTGAGGTTGTGCCCCAATCCCTCCCAGTGGCCCCCAATCCCCTCCCAGTCACTCCCAGTTTGTTCCAATCCCCTCCCAGTTTATTTTAATCCCCTCCCAGTGGCTCCCAGTGCTCCCAGTGCTCCCAGTTACCTGTGTGGAGTGGTGCCCCGAGCCCAGGTGGGCGCTGAGCCCCGGGCCAGGTTGGGGTTGTGCCCCCAATCCCTCCCAGTGGCTCCCAGTCCCTCCCAGTTTGTTCCAATCCCTCCCAGTTTATTTTAATCCCCTCCCAGTGGCTCCCAGTGCTCCCAGTGCTCCCAGTTACCTGTGTGGAGTGGTGCCCCGAGCCCAGGTGGGCGCTGAGCCCCCGGGCCAGGTTGGGGTTGTGCCCCCCAATCCCCTCCCAGTGGCTCCCAGTCCCTCCCAGTTTGTTCCAATCCCCTCCCAGTTTATTTTAATCCCCTCCCAGTGGCTCCCAGTGCTCCCAGTGCTCCCAGTTACCTGTGTGGAGTGGTGCCCTGAGCCCAGGTGGGCGCTGAGCCCCCGGGCCAGGTTGGGGTTGTGCCCCCCAATCCCCTCCCAGTGGCTCCCAGTCCCTCCCAGTTTGTTCCAATCCCCTCCCAGTTTGTTCCAATGCCCTCCCAGTGGCTCCCAGTGCTCCCAGTTTGCCCAGTTACCTGTGTGGAGTGGTGCCCCGAGCCCAGGTGGGCGCTGAGCCCCCTCCCAGTTTATCCCAGTCCCTCCCAGTGCTCCCAATCCCCTCCCAGTCCCTCCCAGTTTGTTCCAATCCCCTCCCAGTTTGTTCCAATCCCCTCCCAGTGGCTCCCAGTGCTCCCAGTTTGCCCAGTTACCTGTGTGGAGTGGTGCCCCAAGCCCAGGTGGGCGCTGAGCCCTCCCAGTCCCTCCCAGTCCAAACCAGTGTTCCCAGTTACCTGTGTGGAGTGGTGCCCCGAGCCCAGGTGTGCGCTGAGCCCCCTCCCAGTCCCTCCAGTCCAAACCAGTGTTCCCAGTAACCTGTGTGGAGTGGTGCCTCGAGCCCAGGTATGCGCTGAGCCCTCCCAGTAACCCCTCCCAGTCCAAACCAGTGCCCCCAATCCCCTCCCAGTCCCTCCCAGAGTTTAAAGCATGGTAACTCCCAGTAACTCCCAGTGACTCCCAGTGACTCCCAACTCGTGACCCCCAGACCCCAGATACCAGTCCCTCCCAGTCCCTCCCAGTGACCCCAAATCCCCTTTAAACCCCCTTTAACTCCCTCCAGTCAAACCAGTTTGTTCCAATTCCCTCCCAGTTTGTTCCAATCCCTCCCAGTGGCTCCCAATCCCTCCCAGTGCTCCCAGTTTGCCCAGTTACCTGTGTGGAGTGGTGCCGAGGCCCAGGTATGCGCTGAGCCCCCTCCCAGTAACCCCTCCCAGTCCAAACCAGTCCCTCCCAGTTTGTTCCAATCCCCTCCCAGTTTGTTCCAATCCCCTCCCAGTCCCTCCCAGTGCTCCCAGTTTGCCCAGTAACCTGTGTGGGAGTGGTCCCGAGCCCAGGTGGGCGCGCTGAGCCTCCCAGTTTATCCCAGTTTATCCCAGTTTGTTCCAATCCTCCCAGTTTGTTCCAATCCCTCCCAGTGGCTCCCAGTGCCTCCCAGTAACCTGTGTGGAGTGGCGCCTCCGAGCCCAGGTGGGTCGCCTGCCAGCCGGCTCCCAGTGGTTTATCCCAGTCCCTCCCAGTGTTCCCAGTAACCTGTGTGGAGTGGTGCCCCGAGCCCAGGTGGGCGCTGAGCCCCTCCCAGTTTATCCCAGTCCCTCCCAGTGTTCCCAGTAACCTGTGTGGAGTGGTGCCCCGAGCCCAGGTGGGCGCTGAGCCCCCTCCCAGTCCCTCCCAGTGCTCCCAGTGTTCCCAGTAACCTGTGTGGAGTGGTGCCCCGAGCCCAGGTGGGCGCTGAGCCCCCTCCCAGTTTATCCCAGTCCCTCCCAGTGTTCCCAGTAACCTGTGTGGAGTGGTGCCCCGAGCCCAGGTGGGCGCTGAGCCCCCTGGCCAGGTTGGGGTTGTGCCCCCCAATCCCCTCCCAGTGGCTCCCAGTCCCTCCCAGTTTGTTCCAATCCCCTCCCAGTTTGTTCCAATCCCCTCCCAGTTTGTTCCAATCCCCTCCCAGTGGCTCCCAGTGCTCCCAGTGTTCCCAGTAACCTGTGTGGAGTGGTGCCCCGAGCCCAGGTGGGCGCTGAGCCCCTGGGCCAGGTTGGGGTCAGCCCCCAATCCCTCCCAGTGCCCCCAGTCCCTCCCAGTTTGTTCCAACCCCTCCCAGTTGGTTCCAATGCCCTCCAATCCCCTCCCAGTGGCTCCCAGTGCTCCCAGTGTTCCCAGTAACCTGTGTGGAGTGGTGCCCCGAGCCCAGGTGGGCGCTGAGCCCCCGGGCCAGGTTGGGGTTGTGCCCCCCAATCCCCTCCCAGTGGCCCCCAATCCCCTCCCAGTCACTCCCAGTTTGTTCCAATCCCCTCCCAGTTTATTTTAATCCCCTCCCAGTGGCTCCCAGTGCTCCCAGTGCTCCCAGTTACCTGTGTGGAGTGGTGCCCCGAGCCCAGGTGGGCGCTGAGCCCCGGGCCAGGTTGGGGTTGTGCCCCCAATCCCTCCCAGTGGCTCCCAGTCCCTCCCAGTTTGTTCCAATCCCTCCCAGTTTATTTTAATCCCTCCCAGTGGCTCCCAGTGCTCCCAGTGCTCCCAGTTACCTGTGTGGAGTGGTGCCCCGAGCCCAGGTGGGCGCTGAGCCCCCGGGCCAGGTTGGGGTTGTGCCCCCCAATCCCCTCCCAGTGGCTCCCAGTCCCTCCCAGTTTGTTCCAATCCCCTCCCAGTTTATTTTAATCCCCTCCCAGTGGCTCCCAGTGCTCCCAGTGCTCCCAGTTACCTGTGTGGAGTGGTGCCCCGAGCCCAGGTGGGCGCTGAGCCCCCGGGCCAGGTTGGGGTTGTGCCCCCAATCCCCTCCCAGTGGCTCCCAGTCCCTCCCAGTTTGTTCAATCCCCTCCCAGTTTATTCTAATCCCTCCCAGTGGCTCCCAGCAATGCCCTCCCAGTGGCTCCCAGTGCCTCCCAGTTTGCCCAGTTACCTGTGTGGAGTGGTGCCTGAGCCCAGGTGGGGCGCTGAGCCCTCCCAGTTTATCCCAGTCCCTCCCAGTGCTCCCAATCCCCTCCCAGTCCCTCCCAGTTTGTTCCAATCCCCTCCCAGTTTGTTCCAATCCCCTCCCAGTGGCTCCCAGTGCTCCCAGTTTGCCCAGTTACCTGTGTGGAGTGGTGCCCCGAGCCCAGGTGGGCGCTGAGCCCCCGGGCCAGGTTGGGGTTGTGCCCCCCCCTGAGGGGCACCAGGTGGGCGGCCAGGCCCAGGTAGGCCCCGAAATCCAACTCCTGGCGCAGCGCCTGGGGGGGAAAATCGGGATTTTAGGGGGGGTTCCCGAAATTTGGGACCCCAAAAAACCCCAAATACACAAAATCCATCAAAATTCATCAAAAACCGACAAAAAATTCCCGCCAAACCCCCCCAAAATTAACCCCAAATCACCTTCAAATTCCCCCCCCACAAAAAATTCCCCTCAAATCCCTCCTAAATCCCTTCAAATCCCCCCAAAATCCACCCAAAATTCATCAAACCCAACAAAAATCTCCGCCAAACCCCCAAAATCCCAAAATCTCCCCCAAAAATCCCCTCAAAATCCTCAAAATTCCCTCAAGCCCCCCCAAAATCCCCAAAACCCCAAATCCCCCCAAAAATTCCCCCCAAAATCCCCAAATCCCCAAATCCCCTCAAATCCCCGATCATCAAATTCCCTCAAATCTCACCATCTCAGGAGTCCCCAATCCCGCCCTTCAAGTCACCTGGAATCCCACAAAATCCCCTGTCTCAAATTCCCTAAAACTCCCAAAGTCGCAAATCTCTAGGCGTCCCTGAAGTCTCTAGAGTGCCCCAAGTCCCCAGAAATCCCGGTCATGCCTCAAATCCCCCAAAACTCTCTCGAAACCTCAAACTCTAAACTCCAAAATCTCCTGAACCCCAGAAATCTCCACCCAAATCCCCGAGTCCTCCAAAATCCTCCGTCACAAAGTCCCCTCAAACGCCCTAAAGCCTCTAAAAGTCCCTCTAACCCCCAAAATCCTCAATCCCCAAGAAATTCCCAAATCCCCAAAATCCCCAAAATCCCCAAAATCCCCAAATCCCCCCCAAAAATCTCTCTAAAAATCCCCAAATCCCCCCAAAATCCCCAAAATCCCAAAAGCCCCAAATTCCCCAAAAAGCTCCAGTCACCTTTCTGTGAGTTGATCCTGACGTACTTGCAGGGGCGAGTCCCAGGCCGGATCCAGGGGGACAATTTACCCACGATCAGCGTGTTCCAATCTGGGGAAACACCCAGAATTTGGGCAAAAAATCAACCCAAAATCACCCTGAAAAAATAACAGGAAATTTGGGGAAAAAAATCAAAAAAATTCGGGAAGTTTTGGTTACAAAAAATGAAAAAAATGGGAAAAATGGGGAAAAAAAGGGGAAAAAAAGGAGGAAAAAAAGGAGGAAAAAAGGAGGAAAAAGGAAAGAAAAAGGAGAAAGGGAAAAAGAGGAAAAAAGAGGAGGAAAAAAGGAGGAAAAAAGAGAAAGAAGGGGAAAAAGAAGGGGAAGGGGAAAAAAAAGGGGGAAAAAAAGGAGAAAAAAGGGAGAAATAATTTAAAAAAACAGGGGAAAATTCCACAAAAAATTGGGGGGAAATGATAAAAAAAAAGGAGGAAAAATCACCAAAAAAAATGGGGAAAATTCCACAAAAAAGTGGGGGAAAATGATAAAAAAAAAAGGAGGAAAAATCACCAAAAAAAATTGGGGAAAATACCACAAAAAGTAGGGGAAAATTGTCAAAAAAAATGGGGGGGAAATCACCAAAAAAAAGGGGGATAAATTCGTGGATCCAGGGGGACAATTTACCCACGATCAGCGTGTTCCAATCTGGGGGGAAAACACCCAAATTTGGGCAAAAAATCAACCCAAAAACACCCCCAAAATACCCAGAAAAAATCAGGAAATTTGGGAAAAAATTTGGAAAATTTTGGTCATGAAAAATGAAAAAAAAAGGGGAAAAAAAGGGGAAAAAGGGGGAAAAAAGGGGGAAAAAAGGGGGAAAAAAGGGGAAAAAAAGAGAAATTATTTTAAAAAAATGGGGAAAATTCCACAAAAAATTGAGGGAAAATGATGGGAAAAAAAGGAAGAAAAATCACCAAAAAAACGTGGAAAACTTCCACAAAAAGTGGGGGAAAATCATCCAAAAAATGGGGGGAAATTGCAATAAAAAAGGGGGATAAATTTGTGGATCCAGGGGGACAATTTACCCACGATCAGCGTGTTCCAATCTGGGGAAAAAACACCCAAATTTGGGCAAAAAATCAACCCAAAATCACCCCCAAAATACCCTGGAAAAATCAGGAAATTTGGGGAAAAAAATCAAAAAAATTCGGGAAGTTTTGGTCACAAAAAATGAAAAAAATGGGAAAAAAAGGGGAAAAAGGGGAAAAAAAGGGGAAAAAAAGGAGGAAAAAAAGGAAAAATTATTTTAAAAAATTGGGGAAAATTCCACAAAAAATTGGGGGAAAATGATGAAAAAAAAAGAGGAAAAATCACCAAAAAAAATGGGGAAAATTCCACAAAAAGTAAATTGGAAAAAAATCCTCAAAAAATCAGAAAAAAAAACCAAAAAAAAAGGAAAAAAAAATCCCCCAAAAATCAGATAAAAAATCCTCAAAAAATCCCAAAAAAATCCTCAAAAAATCAGAAAAAAAAAACGAAAAAAAGGAAAAAAAATCCCCAAAAAGTCAGAAAAAAATCCGAAAAAAATCCTCAAAAAATCCGAAAAAAATCCGAAAAATCCAAAAAATCCTCAAAAATCAGAAAAATCCTCAAAAATCCTCAAAAATCAGAAAAAAACCCCTCAAAAAATCAGGAAAAAATCAGAAAAAACCCTCGAAAAATTAGAAAAAAATCCTCAAAAAAATCTTCAAAAATCGAAAAAATCCGAAAAATCTGAAAAATCTCAAAAATCAGAAAATCCAGAAAAATCCAAAAACAAGGAAAAAAAATCCTCAAAAAACCAGAAAAAAATCCTCAAAAATCAGAAAAAACCTAAAAATCAGAAAAAATTGGAAAAAATCAGAAAAAAATCCAAAAAAAGGAAAAATCCCCAAAATCAGAAAAACCCCAAAAATCCCAAAAAAATCACAAAATTCCTCAAAACCCCCAAATCTCCCCAAATCCCCCCCAAACCCCCCGCAGGTCTCACCTCTCCCGGCCAGCACGAGGTCAGAGCGGGTTTGGGGTCCCGGCCGCTCCCGCGCTGGGGACGCTCCAAATTCCCGACGGTGCCGAGGGGTGGAACAGCGGCAGGCACAGGAAATCGAACCTGGGGGAACTGGGATGAACTGGGAGGGACTGGGACAGGGTTGGGGGCACTGGGAGGGGATTGGGGGCACTGGGAGGCGATTGGGGGCCCTGGGAGGGACTGGGGGCATTGGGAAGGGATTGGGGGCACTGGGAGGGGACTGGGAGGGCACTGGGAGGGAATGGGGGCACTGGGAGGGGACTGGGAGGGATTGGGGGCACTGGGAGGCACTGGTTTGAACTGGGACGCCCAAATTCCCGACGGTGCCGGGGTGGAACAGCGGCAGGCACAGGAAATCGAACCTGGGGGCACTGGGATGAACTGGGATAAACTGGGAGGCACTGGGAGGGGATTGGGGGCACTGGGAGGGACTGGGAGGATTGGGGGCATTGGGAGGGGATTGGGGGGCACTGGGAGGGACTGGGAGGGATTGGGGGCACTGGGAGGGCACTGGGAGGCACTGGGAGGGACTGGGAGGGGATTGTGGGGCACTGGGAGGATTGGAGGGCACTGGGGGGCACTGGGAGGGCACTGGGAGGGCACTGGTTTGAACTGGGACGCCCCAAATTCCCGACGGTGCCGGGTGGAACAGCGGCAGGCACAGGAAATCGAACCTGGGGGAACTGGGATGAACTGGGAGGCACTGGGAGGGGATTGGGGGGCACTTGGAGGGATTGGGAGGGGATTGGGGGGCACTGGGAGGGACTGGGAGATTAGCACTGGGAGGGCACTGGTTTGAACTGGGGCGCCCCAAATTCCCGACGGTGCCGGGGGTGGAACAGCGGCAGGCACAGGAAATCGAACCTGGGGGGAACTGGGATGAACTGGGATAAACTGGGAGGGGATTGGGGGCACTGGGAGGGACTGGGAGGGCACTGGGAGGGCACTGGTTTGAACTGGGACGCCCCAAATTCCCGACGGTGCCGGGGGTGGAACAGCGGCAGGCACAGGAAATCGAACCTGGGGGCAACTGGGATGAACTGGGAGGCACTGGGAGGGAATTGGGGGCACTGGGAGGGACTGGGAGGGATTGGGGGCACTGGGAGGGATTGGGAGGCACTGGGAGGGACTGGGATTGGGGATTGGGGGCACTGGGCACTGGGAGCACTGGGGATTGGGGGCACTGGGAGGGACTGGGAGGGATTGGGGGCACTGGGAGGCACTGGGAGGGACTGGGAGGGGATTGGGGGGGCACTGGGAGGGCACTGGGAGGGGCACTGGGGGCACTTGGGAGGACTGTTGGGACGCCCCAAATTCCTGACGGTGCCGAGGGGTGGAACAGCAGCAGGCACAGGAAATCGAACCTGGGGGAACTGGGATGAACTGGGAGGCACTGGGAGGGATTGGGGGCACTGAGGGACTGGGAGGGGATTGGGGGCACTGGGAGGCACTGGGAGGGACTGGGAGGGGATTGGGGGCACTGGGAAGGCACTGGGAGAGGGACTGGGGGGATTGGGGGCACTGGTAGGACTGAGGGATTGGGGGCACTGGGAGGGATTGGGGGCACTGGGAGGGATTGGGGGCACTGGGGATTGGGGCACTGGGAGGGGATTGGGGGCACTGGGAGGGACTGGGGGACTGGAGGACTGGGAGGGATTGGGAGGCACTGGGAGGGATTGGGGGCACTGGGGAGGGCACTGGTTTGAACTGGGACGCCCCAAATTCCCGACGGTGCCGGGGGTGGAACAGCGGCAGGCACAGGAAATCGAACCTGGGGGGAACTGGGATGAACTGGGAGGGACTGGGAGGGATTGGGGGCACTGGGAGGGACTGGGAGGGATTGGGGGGGCACTGGGAGGGACTGGGAGGCACTGGGACGAGGGCACTGGTTTGAACTGGGACGCCCCAAATTCCCGACGGTGCCGGGGGTGGAACAGCGGCAGGCACAGGAATCGAACCTGGGGGAACTGGGATGAACTGGGAGGCACTGGGAGGGATTGGGGGGACTGGGAGGGATTGGGAGGGATTGGGGAGCACTGGGAGGGGACTGGGGGCACTGGGAGGCACTGGGAGGATTGGGGGCACTGGGAGGGACTGGGGGGGCACTGGGAGGGGATTGGGGGAGCACTGGGAGGGACTGGGAGGGGATTGGGAGGGCACTGGGAGGGGCACTGGTTTGAACTGGGACGCCCCAAATTCCCGACGGTGCCAGGGTGGAACAGCGGCAGGCACAGGAAATCGAACCTGGGGGCACTGGGATGAACTGGGATAAACTGGGAGGCACTGGGAGGATTGGGGGCACTGGGAGGGACTGGGAGGGATTGGGGGGCACTGGGAGGAGGATTGGGGGGCACTGGGAGGGACTGGGAGGGATTGGGGGGCACTGGGAGGGCACTGGGAGGCACTGGGAGGGGACTGGGGGCACTGTAGGCACTGGGAGGGATTGGAGGGCACTGGGGGGGCACTGGGAGGGCACTGGGAGGGCACTGGTTTGAACTGGGACGCCCAAATTCCCACGAGTGCCGAGGGTGGAACAGCGGCAGGCACAGGAAATCGAACCTGGGGGAACTGGGATGAACTGGGAGGCACTGGGAGGGGATTGGGGGGCACTTGGAGGGATTGGGAGGGATTGGGGGGCACTGGGAGGGACTGGGAGGCATTGGGAGGCACTGGGAGGCACTGGGGTGAACTGGGAGGCCATCCTGGCGGTGCAGCTGGGACAGCGGTAGCAGGGAACTACTGGGGGCACTGGGATGAGCTGGATAACTGGGAGGGGATTGGGGGCACTGGGAGGGGATTGGGGGGCACTGGGAGGGCACTGGTTTGAACTGGGACGCCCCAAATTCCCGACGGTGCCGGGGGTGGAACAGCGGCAGGCACAGGAAATCGAACCTGGGGGCACTGGGATGAACTGGGAGGCACTGGGAGGGGCATTGGGGGCACTGGGAGGGACTGGGAGGGGATTGGGGGGGCATTGGGAGGGATTGGGAGGCACTGGGAGGGACTGGGAAAGGATTGGAAGGGATTGGGGGCACTGGGGGCACTGGGAGGCACTGGGAGGGATTGGGGGCACTGGGAGGCACTGGGAGGGATTGGGGGCACTGGGAGGCACTGGGAGGGACTGGGAGGGGATTGGGAGGCACTGGGAGGCACTGGGAGGGGATTGGGGGCACTGGGAGGGCACTGGTTTGAACTGGGACGCCCAAATTCCCGACGGTGCCGGGGGTGGAACAGCGGCAGGCACAGGAAATCGAACCTGGGGGAACTGGGATGAACTGGGAGGCACTGGGAGGGGATTGGGGGCACTGAGGGACTGGGAGGGGATTGGGGGGCACTGGGAGGCACTGGGAGGGACTGGGAGGGGATTAGGGGCACTGGGAGACACTGGGAGGGGATTGAGGAGATTGGGGGCACTGGGATTGAGACTGGGAGGGGATTGGGGGCACTGGGAGGGATTGGGGGCACTGGGAGGGGATTGGGGGCACTGGGAGGGCACTGGGAGGGATTGGGGGCACTGGGAGGGACTGGGAGGGGATTGGGGGCACTGGGAGGGGATTGGGGGCACTGGGAGGGATTAGGGGGCACTGGGAGGGCACTGGTTTGAACTGGGACGCCCCAAATTCTGACGGTGCCGGGGGTGGAACAGCGGCAGGCACAGGAAATCGAACCTGGGGGAACTGGGATGAACTGGGAGGGACTGGGAGGGGATTGGGGGCACTGGGAGGGACTGGGAGGACTGGGGGCACTGGGAGGGACTGGGGAGGGGACTGGGGGCACTGGGAGGGCACTGGTTTGAACTGGGACGCCCCAAATTCCCTGACGGTGCCGGGGTGGAACAGCGGCAGGCACAGGAAATCGAACCTGGGGGAACTGGGATGAACTGGGAGGCACTGGGAGGGCACTGGGAGGGGACTGGGAGGGACTGGGAGGGCATTGGGGGGCACTGGGAGGGACTGGGAGGGGATTGGGGGGCACTGGGAGGGACTGGGAGGGCATTTTGGGGTCCCTGAGGGGATTTTGGGGTCCCTGAGGGGATTTTGGAGTCCCTGGGAAGGTTTTGGGGGTCCCTGAGGGGGTTTTGGGGTCCCTGAGGGGATTCTGGGGTCCCTTTGGGGGTTTTGGGGGGTCCCAAGGTCGATTTTTGAGGGGATTTTTGAGGGTTTTTCTTGGGGGGGTTTTGGGGTCCCTGAGGGGATTTTGGGGGTCCCTGAGGAGTTCTGGGGGTTCCAAAATTGATTTTTGAGGGTATTTTTGAGTTGTGTTTTTTTTTTTCTTGGGGGGTCCCAAAGTTGATTTTGGAGACGATTTTTGAGGGGTTTTTTTTGGGGGGGGTCCCTGAGGGGCTTTTTTGGGGCTCCCTGAGAAGATTTTGTGGGGGGGGGGGAGGGGGAGAATTTCAGATTTTTTTCTGGGGGAACATTTTGAGGGGAAAAAAGGGAATTCTGTGGGTTTTTTTTTTTCCGCTACGACCCTGAACCTCTCCTGGACTGAGGAGGTTTTGGGGGGTCCCTGAGGGGCTTTTTGGGGCTCCCTGAGGCGATTTTGTGAGGAGGGGGGAGGGGAAAATTTCGTGGTTTTTTTTTTTTTTCCGAGGAGACTTTTTGGGGAAAAAGGAATTTTTGTTTGTTTTTTTTCCCCCACCTGGCCACGACCCCGAATCTTTCCGGGACTGAGTGGATGTTTGTGGGGGTCCCTGAGGGGCTTTTTGGGGCTCCCTGAGGGGATTTTGTGAGGGGGAGGGAAAATTTCGGGTTTTTCGGGAGGGGGGATTTTTTTTTTTTTTAAGGAAAATGGGAATTTCGGTAATTTTTATCGCCTCACCCCTGCCTGGCCACGGCCCCGAGCGCTCCCGCCACCTCCGGGACGCAGCTCAGGTCCCTCCCGGAGGAGACCCGAGCGGCGCCCGCCGCTCCCGGCCCCGCCGCCATCGCTGCTGCGCCCGAAACCCCGCCCCCCTTCTCCCCTCACGGAGCCGACCAATCAGCGCGGAGCCCGCCCTTTTTTCGGCCAATCAGAGAGCGAGGAGGGCCGTCAATCAAGGAGGGGTGGCCAATGAGGGGAGAGGGGGGCGGGATCGGGGGCGGTGCGGCGGGAAAAGGGGCGGCCACGCCCACGCGGGGCGAGCGACCAATGGGAGAGCGCGGTTGGGCTGTCGATCACTCCCAGAGCCAATGGGAGGGCGGAGCGAGCTGTCAATCACTCCGATGGCACCACCCACCTCCCGGTCCCGCCCAGTGACTTTTAGGCCACTCCCCCTTTATTTCCCATGCAAATGAGATGTAAAATCAGGTCCTTTATTGAGATCAGCGGCGACGGCGGCGAAAACCTGGGGGGGGAAACTGGGAGTTACTGGGAGGGACTGGGAGGGGATTGGGTGTCACTGGGGGTCACTGGGAGTTACTGGGAGGGACTGGGAGTTACTGGTTTGGGGTCTGGGGGTCACTGGGAGTTACTGGTTTGGGCTCTGGGGGTCACTGGGAGTCACTGGTTTATACTGGGAGTCACTGTGGGGGTCACTGGTCTATACTGGTTTATACTGGGAGTTACTGGGGGGGTCACTGGTCTATACTGGTTTATACTGGGAGTCACTGGGGGGGGGGTCACTCACCCTTCCTCCCCTTTTTTTTGGGAATCTTCGCCTTCCTCTTCTTCTTCCTCGGAGGCTCCTCCCCCTCCTGGGAAGGGGGCGGGGCAAGAACCTCATTAAAAAGGGAGGGGGCGGGGCCTGACAGGGGGTGTGGTCACCGAAGCCCCGCCCCCTCTCACCTGATTGGCCGCCAGGAGGGCGGGGAAGGCCCCGAAATGGGTGAGGGTCTCCAGGTCCCCCCCGGGCCCCGCCCGGCCACGCCCACGGCCAAGCCCCGCCCCCTTCGGGGGGCGGAGCCTCCGCAGCGTCGACTCCTCCAAGCGCAGCCTAAAATGGGGGTTAAACTGAGCTTAAAGTGACCCAAAATGAGGGGAAATCGACCCAAAATTGAGATTAAAATGGCCCTAAAAGTGACCCCAAAACTGAGCTGAAATTGACCCAAAATTGAGATTAAAATGGCCCTAACAGTGACCCTAAAATTCAGCTTAAATCGACCCAAAATGAGCTGAAATCGACCCAAAATTGAGATTGAAATGGCCCTAAAAGTGACCCCAAAATTCAGCTGAAATTGACCCAAAACGACCCCAAAATGGAGCTTAAAGTGACCCAAAATGAGGTGAAATCGACCCAAAATTGAGATTAAAATGTCCCAAAATTGAGATTAAATTGCCCTAAAAGTGACCCTAAAATTCAGCTTAAAGTGACCCAAAATGAGCTGAAATTGACCCAAAATTGAGATTAAATTGTCCCAAAAGTGACCCTAAAATTCAGCTTAAATTGACCCAAAACGACCCCAAAATGGAGCTTAAAGTGACCCAAAATGAGCTGAAATCACCCCAAAATTGAGATTGAAATGGCCCTAAAAGTGACCCAAAAATTCAGTTTAAATTGACCTAAAATGAGCTGAAATTACCTCAAAAGTGACCCCAAAATGAGCTGAAATCGCTCCAAAATTGAGATTAAAATGGCCCTAACAGTGACCCCAAAATTCAGCTTAAATTGACCCAAAAACGACCCCAAAACTGAGCTTAAATTGACCCAAAATGAGGTGAAATCGACCCAAAATTGAGATTAAAATGGCCCTAAATTGAGATTAAATCACCCCAAAAGTGACCCTAAAATTCATCTTAAATTGACCCAAAATGAGCTGAAATTGTCCCAAAAATGAGATTAAATTGCCCCAAAAGTGACCCCAAAACTGAGCTTAAATTGACCTAATATGAGCTGAAATTGCCCCAAAACTGAGCTTAAATTGACCCAAAATTGACATTAAATTGCCCCATCATTGAGCTGAAATTGTCCCAAAATTGAGATTAAATTGCTCCAAAAGTGACCCCAAAACTGAGTTTGAATTGACCCAAAACTGATCTTAAATTGACCCAAAATGAGCTGAAATCATCCCAAAATTGAGATTAAAATGTCCCAAAAGTGACCCCAAAACTGATCTGAAAGTGACCCCAAAATGGGCTAAAATCGCCCCAAAATTGAGATTAAATCTCCCCAAAAGTGTCCTTAAAATTCAACTTAAATTGACCCTAAACAACACCAAAACTGAGCTTAAATTGACCCAAAAATGACCCCAAAATGAGCTGAAATTGTCCCAAAATTGAGATCAAATCGCCCCTACAGTGACCCTAAAACTGAGCTGAAATTGACCCAAAACGACCCCAAAACTGAGCTTAAATTGACCCAAAAATGACCCCAAAATGAGCTGAAATTGTCCCAAAATTGAGATTAAATCACCCCAAAAGTGACCCCAAAACTGAGCTGAAATTGACCCAAAACCGACCCCAAAATGATCTAAAAACTGACCAAAAACTGACCCAAAATGACCCAAAATTGACCCAAAATGACCCAAAATCGACCCAAAATGACCCAAAATGACCCAAAACACCCAAAAATGACCCAAAATGCCCCAAAATGCCCGTAAATTGAATTTCCTCCCCACCTGTGCTGCTGTTGGGGGTCTGGGGGTGCCCCCAGGGTGGGTCCCAGCTCGGGGGGGGGTCCCCAAAACCGACCCCAAAATGACCCAAAACTGACCCAAAATGGCCAAAAAATGACCAAAATTGACCCAAAACGCCCCAAAATCCCTGTAAATTGGATTTCCTCCCCACCTGTGCTGCTGTTCCCGATTTGGGGGTCCCCAAAACCACCTAAGAAGTGACCCCAAAATGTCCCAAAATCGACCCAAAATGACCCAAAACTGACCCAAAATCGACCCAAAATGACCCAAAATTGACCCAAAATTGACCCAAAATGCCCATAAATTGAATTTCCTCCCCACCTGTGCTGCTGTTGGGGGTCTGGGGGTGCCCCCAGGGCGGGTCCCAGCTCGGGGTGGGGGTCCCCAAACCCACCTAAGAAGTGACCCCAAAATGGCCTAAAATTGACTGAAAATGGCCAAAAATTGCCAAAAATTGACCCAAAATGACCCAAAATGCCCCAAAATCCCTGTAAATTGAATTTCCTCCCCACCTGTGCTGCTGTTGGGGGTCTGGGGGTGCCCCCAGGGCGGGTCCCAGCTCGGGGGGGGTCCCCAAAACCAACCCCAAACCCACCTAAAAACTGACCCAAAATGGCCTAAAATTCACCCAAACTGACCCAAAATGACCCAAAATGACCCAAAACGACCCAAAATGCCCCAAAATGCCCCAAAATGCCCGTAAATTGAATTCCAACCCCACCTGTGCTGCTGTTGGGGGTCTGGGGGTGCCCCCAGGGCGGGTCCCAGCTCGGGGGGGGGTCCCCAAAACCGACCCCAAACTGACCCAAAAACTGACCCAAAATGACCCAAAATGTCCCAAAATTGACCCAAAATGCCCCAAAATGCCCGTAAATTGAATTTTCTCCCCACCTGTGCTGTTGTTGGGGGTCTGGGGGTGCCCCCAGGGCGGGTCCCAGCTCGGGGTGGGGGGTCCCCAAAACCGACCCCAAAATGACCCAAAATTGACCCAAACTGACCCAAAATGACCCAAAATGTCCCAAAATTGACCCAAAATGCCCCAAAATGCCCGTAAATTGAATTTTCTCCCCACCTGTGCTGCTGTTGGGGGTCTGGGGGTGCCCCCAGGGCGGGTCCCAGCTCGGGGGGGGTGTCCCAAAATGATCTAAAAACTGACCCAAAACTGACCAAAAACTGACCCAAAATGGCCAAAAATTGACCCAAAATGATCCAAAATTGACCCAAATTGCCCCAAAATGTCCCAAAATCCCTGTAAATTGACTTTTCTCCCCACCTGTGCTGTTGTTGGGGGTGTGGGGGTGCCCCCAGGGCGGGTCCCAGCTCAGGGGGGGGTCCCCAAAACCAACCCCAAACTGACCCAAAACTGACCCAAAATGACCCAAAACACCCAAAAATGACCCAAAATGCCCCAAAATGCCCGTAAATTGAATTTCCTCCCCACCTGTGCTGCTGTTGGGGGTCTGGGGGTGCCCCAGGGTGGAGTCCCAGCTCGGGAGGTCCCCAAAACCGACCCCAAAATGACCCAAAACTGACCCAAAATGGCCAAAAAATGACCAAAATTGACCCAAAACGCCCCAAAATCCCTGTAAATTGGATTTCCTCCCCACCTGTGCTGCTGTTCCCGATTTGGGGGTCCCCAAAACCACCTAAGAAGTGACCCCAAAATGTCCCAAAATCGACCCAAAATGACCCAAAACTGACCCAAAATCGACCCAAAATGACCCAAAATTGACCCAAAATTGACCCAAAATGCCCATAAATTGAATTTCCTCCCCACCTGTGCTGCTGTTGGGGGTCTGGGGGTGCCCCCAGGGCGGGTCCCAGCTCGGGGGGGGTCCCCAAAACCAACCCCAAACCCACCTAAAAACTGACCCAAAATGGCCTAAAATTCACCCAAACTGACCCAAAATGACCCAAAATGACCCAAAACGACCCAAAATGCCCCAAAATGCCCCAAAATGCCCGTAAATTGAATTCCAACCCCACCTGTGCTGCTGTTGGGGGGTCTGGGGGTGCCCCAGGGCGGGTCCCAGCTCGAGGTGGGGGTCCCCAAAACCGACCCCAAAATGACCCAAAATTGACCCAAACTGACCCAAAATGACCCAAAATGTCCCAAAATTGACCCAAATGCCCCAAAATGCCCGTAGAATTGAATTTTCTCCCCACCTGTGCTGTTGTTGGGGGTCTGGGGGTGCCCCCAGGGCGGGTCCCAGCTCGGGGTGGGGGGTCCCCAAAACCGACCCCAAAATGACCCAAAATTGACCCAAACTGACCCAAAATGACCCAAAATGTCCCAAAATTGACCCAAAATGCCCCAAAATGCCCGTAAATTGAATTTTCTCCCCACCTGTGCTGCTGTTGGGGGTCTGGGGGTGCCCCCAGGGCGGGTCCCAGCTCGGGGGGATCCCCAAAACCGACCCCAAACTGACCCAAAACTGACCGAAAATTGACCCAAAATTGACCCAAAATGACCCAAAATTGACCCAAAATGCCCCAAAATGCCCGTAAATTGAATTTCCTCCCCACCTGTGCTGCTGTTGGGGGTCTGGGGTGCCCCAGGCGCGGAGTCCCAGCTCGGGGGGATCCCCAAAACCGACCCCAAACCCACCTAAAAACTGACCCAAAATGGTCAAAAATTGACTCAAAATTGACCAAAATTGACCCAAAATGCCCCAAAATGCCCGTAAATTGAATTTCCTCCCCACCTGTGCTGCTGTTGGGGGTCTGGGGGTGCCCCCAGGGCGGGTCCCAGCTCGGGGGGTTCCTCGCTGAGCTCCAGGCGGAGCTCTCTGAGGACGGAGCCGCTCAGGGCTCGGCGGCGCCGCCGGGAGAGCTCCAGGGAGGCAGAGTCGAGACCCTCGGGGGCTGAAAAACACCAAAAAAAATTTAAATTTAGGGTTTTTGGAGGAATTTCTAAATTTTCTATTATTTTTGGAATTTTTTTTTTATTTTTTTGGAATTTTTTGGAATTTTTTTGGAGGTTTTTTTTTTATTTTTTTTTGGCTTTTTTTGGCATTTTTTGGAATTTTTTGGAGTTTTTTTGGAATTTTTTTGGCATTTTTTTGGCTTTTTTTAAGGTTTTTTTCATATTTTTTTGGAATTTGTTTTAATTGACTTTGATTTTTTTTTAACTATTTATTTCAAAATTTTTTTAAATTGTTTTAATTTTTCCTTTGTTTTCTTTTGAATTTTTTTAAATTGTTTTTCTTTATTTTAGTGGGGTTTTTTTACTTATTTTGATTTGATTTTTTTGATTGTTTTGATTTTTTTACAGACTTTTGAAATTTTTGATTTTATTTCAATTTTTGATTTTTTTTAAATTTTTTTTGGATTTTTTGGGGGGAATTCTCTGATTTTTTTTCTGTTTTTTCGGAAGGTTTTGAGGATTTTTGGGGGGCTGGGAAAGACAAAAAAATACATTTAAAAGGGTTTAGGAGGTTGTAAGAATTTTTTGGGGGGTTTTCTAATTTTTTTTAGATTTTTTTAGATTTTTTTTCTATTTCTTTGAGGGTTTTTTTGGGTTTATTTTGAATTTTTTTGCGGATTTATTTTAATTTTTTTTGCATTTTTTCCTGGTTTATTTTGATATTTTTTAAAAAGTCATTTCAGTTCTTAAAGTTGGGGTGATTTGGGGCCATTTTGGGCTGATTTTGGGGTGTTTTGAGGGGTTTTGAGTCTATTTTGGGGTGATTTGTGGTGATTTGGGGCCATTTTGGGGTGATTTGAGGTGATTTGGGGCCATTTTAGGGTGATTTGTGATGATTTTGGGGTGTTTTGAGGGGTTTTGGGGCCATTTTGGGGTGATTTGGGGTGATTTTGGGGTGATTTGTGATGATTTTGGGGTGATTTGTGATGATTTTGGGGTGTTTTGGGGTGATTTGTAAAGTTTTTGGGGTGATTTTGGGGTGTTTTGAGGCCATTTTGGGGTGATTTGAGGTGATTTTGGGGTGTTTTGAGGCCATTTCAGGGTGTTTTGGAGTGATTTGTGGTGATTTTGGGGTGTTTTGAGGCCATTTTGTGGTGATTTGTGGTGATTTTGGGGCCATTTGAGGCCATTTTGGGGTGATTTGTGGTGATTTTGGGGTGTTTTGAGGGGTTTTGAGGCCGTTTTGGGGTGATTTGGGGTGATTTCGGGGTGATTTGTGATGATTTTGGGCAATTTCGGGGTGAATTGGGGCCATTTTGGAGTGATTTTGGGGTGTTTTGGGGTGTTTTGAGGATATTTTGGGCTGATTTGTGGTGATTTGGGGGTCTCTCTCACCGTAGCTGACGGGCACCAGTTTGGGGGGGCGGTACCGGCCCCGCCCCCCGCCCAGCCCGGGGGCTTTGGCTCCGCCCCCTCCCTCAGGCTCCTCCCCTTCCTCTTCCTCCTCCTCCTAAAAGAAAAGAGGGCGTGACATCATCAGGCCCCGCCCACCTCAAAACCACACCCATCAAGCCACGCCCACCCAATCAAGCCCCACCCCTTCCCCTTAAGCCACACCCCCTGTTTAAGCCACACCCCCTTCCCCTTAGGCCACACCCCCTGTTTAAGCCACACCCCCTTTAGGCCACACCCAACATGCTTAAGCCCCGCCCCTTTTTAATTGTGACCTAAGCCACACCCACAAATTAAGCCCCACCCCCTTACCTTCAAGCCACACCCCCTGCTTAAACCACACCCCCTGATTAAGCCACACCCCTGATTAAGCCACACCCCCTGATTAAGCCACGCCCAGCCCTTAAAGCCACACCCCTCCCCTTCAGGCCACACCCCTTTAAGCCACACCCCCATCCCTTTAAGCCACGCCCACTGCTCTTAAAGCCACGCCCCTTTAACGAACCACACCCATTTAAGCCCCGCCCACCAGGCTATAAAGCCACACCCCTTTATGCCCCACCCCGTTAAGCCCCGCCTACCTGGGCGGCCATGTTGGAAGGGGCGGGGCGGAAGCTCAGGGGGTCGTCAGGGCCTGCTTTGATTGACAGGTGTCAGTCAGAGGGGAGGGCGGGGCTTGAGGGGTGGGTGGGGTTTAAAGGTGGTGGGTGGGGTTTAAGGAGTTGTGGGTGGGGTTTAAGGAGTTGTGGGTGGGGTTTAAGGGTTGTGGGTGGGGTTTAAGGGGTGTGGGTGGGGTTTAAGGGGTGTGGGTGGGGTTTAAGGGAGTGGGTGGGGTTTAATGATTGTAGGTGGGGGTTTAGGGTGGTGGAGTGGGGTTTAAGGGTGGTGGGTGGGGCTTAAGGATTGTGGGTGGGGTTTAAGGATTGTGGGTGGTGTTTAAGGGTTGTGGGTGAGCTTTAAGGAATGTGGGTGGGGTTTAAGGGTTGTGGGTGGGGTTTACAGGCTGTGGGTGGGGATTAAGGGTGGTGGGTGGGGTTTAAGGGTAGTGGGTGGGGCTTAAGGATTGTGGGTGGGGTTTAAGGGTTGTGGGTGGGGTTTAAGGAATGTGGGTGGGGTTTTGTAGGAGTGGGTGGGGTTTAAGGACAGTGGGTGGGGTTTAAGGGGAGTGGGTGGGGTTTAAGGGTGGTGGGTGGGGTCTAAAGTCTGTGGGTGGGGCTTAAGGGCAGTGGGTGGGGTTTAAGGGTTGTGGGTGGGGTTTAAGGGTTGTGGGTGGGGTTTAAGGGTTGTGGGTGGGGTTTAAGGGTGGTGGGTGGGGCTTAAGAGCTGTGGGTGGGGTTTAATGATTGTGGGTGGGGGTTTAGGGTGGTGGGTGGGGTTTAAGGGTGGTGGGTGGGGTTTAAGAGTTGTGGGTGTGGTTTAAGTGTTGTGGGTGGGGTAAAGGGTGGTGGGTGTGGTTTAAGGGTTGAGGTGTGGTTTTAGGGTGGTGGGTGGGATTTAAGGGTTGTGGGTGTGGTTTAAGGGGTGTGGGTGGGGTTTAAGGGTGGTGGGTGGGGTTTAAGGGCTGTGGGAGGGGTTTAAAGATTGTGGGTGGGGTTTAAGGGTTGTGGGTGGGGTTTAAGGGTTGTGGGTGGGGTTTAGGGTGGTGGGTGGGGTTTAAGGGTGGTGGGTGGGAGTTTAAGGAATGTGGGTGGAGTTTTGTAGGAGTGGGAGGGGCTTAGGGTTATGGGTGGGGCTTAAGGGTTGTGAGAGGAGCTTGAGTGTTGTGGGTGGGGTTTAAATGTTAGGGGTGTGGTTTAAGGATTATGGGAGGGGTTTGAGTGTTGTGGGTGGGGTTTAAAGGTTGTGCGTGGGGTTTAAGTGTTGTGGGTGGGGTTAAAGGGTGGTGGGTGTGGTTTTAGGGTGGTGGGTGGGGTTTAAGGGTTGTAGGAGGGCTTTGAGTGTTGTGGGTGTGGTTTCAAGATTGTGGGTGGGGTTTAAGGGTTGTGGGTGGGGTTTAAGGGTTGTGGGTGGGGTTTAAGAGTTGTGGGTGGGGCTGAAATTTTGTGGGTGGGTTTAAAGGCCTGTGGGTGGGGTTTAAGAGTTGTGGGTGGGGTTTAAGAGTTGTGGGTGTGGTTTAAAGATTTTGGGTGTGGTTTCAGGGGTGTGGGAGGGGTTTAAGCATTGTGGGTGGGGTTTAAGGGTTGTGGGTGGGGTTTAAGGATTGTGGGCGGGGTTTAAGCATTGTGGGTGGGGTTTAAGGGTGGTGGGTGGGGTTTAAGAGCTGTGGGTGGGGTTTAATGATTGTGGGTGGGGGTTTAGGGTGGTGGGTGGGGTTTAAATTGGTGGGTGGGGTTTAAGGGTGGTGGGTGGGGGTTTAAGGGTTGTGGGTGGGGTTTAGGAATGTGGGTGGGGTTTAAGGGTTGTGGGTGGGGTTTAAGGGTGAGGTTGTGGGTGGGGTTTAAGGGTGTGGGTGGGGTTTAAATGTGTTGGGTGGGGTTTAAAGGTGGTGGGTGGGGTTTAGGGATTGTGGGTGGGGTTTAAGGATTGTGGGTGTGGCTTAAGAATTGTGGGTGTGGTTTAAGGGATGTGGGTGGAGCTTAAGTGTTGTGGGTGGGGTTTAAGGGCTGTGGGTGGGGCTTAAGGGTTGTAGGTGGGGTTTAAGGGTTGTGGGTGGAGTTTTGTAGGAGTGGGTGGGGTATAAGAGCTGTGGGTGTGGTTTAAGGGCTGTGGGTGGGTTTAAGGGTTGTCTGTGGGGGTTTAAGAGGGGTGGGTGGGGTTTAAGGGCAGTGGGTGGGGTTTAAGCATTGTGGGTGGGGTTTAAGAGTTGTGGGTGGGGTTTAAGGGTGGTGGGTGGGGTTTAACGGCTGTGGGTGGGGCTTAAGGATTGTGGGTGGGGTTTAAGGGTTGTGGGTGGGGTTTAAGGATTGTGGGTGGGGTTTAAGGGTTATGGGTGGGGTTTAAAGGTGGTGGGTGGGGTTTAAAGGTGGTGGGTGGGGTTTAGGGATTGTGGGGTGGGGTTTAAGGATTGTGGGTGGGGTTTAAGGGTTATGGGTGGGGTTTAAAGGTGGTGGGTGGGGTTTAAAGGTGGTGGGTGGGGTTTAGGGATTGTGGGTGGGGTTTAAGGATTGTGGGTGTGGCTTAAGAATTGTGGGTGTGGTTTAAGGGTTGTGGGTGGGGCTTAAGTGTTGTGGGTGGGGTTTAAGGGTTGTGGGCGGGGCTCAAGGCTCATAGGTCAGGTTTAAGGGTTGTGGGTGTGGCCAAACTGACCCCGCCCCCCCTGGGCCGCCGCCCGCAGCAGCTTCTCCAGTTGGTACTTGAGGCCCAGCTCGAGGGGGCGGAGCTTCTCCAGCACCTGCCGGGGGGCGGGGCTTAACAGGAGGGGGAGGGGCCAGGATGGCCCAAAAACCCCCTCAGGGACCCCCAAATTCACCTCAGGGACCCCAAAACATCCTCAGGGACCCCCAAAATTCACTCAGGGACCTCCAAAACCACCTCAGGGACCCCTAAATTCACCTCAGGGACTCCAAAACCACCTCAGGGACCTCCAAAACCACCTCAGGGACCTCCAAAACCACCTCAGGGACCTCCAAAACCCCTCAGGGACCCCCAAAATCCCCTCAGGGACCCCCAAAACCCCCTCAGGGACCTCCAAAACCCCAAAGGGACCCCCAAATCCACTCAGGGACCCCTAAATTCACCTCAGGGACCCGAAAACCTCCCAGGGACCCCAAAAACCCTCCCAGGGACCCCAAAAACCCTTTAAGGGACCCCCCAAAACCCCCTCAGGGACCCCCAAAAACCCTCAGGAACCCCTGAAATCCACTCAGGGACCCCCAAATTCACCTCAGAGACCCCCAAATTCACCTCAGGGACCCCAAAAACCCTTTAGGGGACCCCCAAAAACCCCTCAGGGACCCCAAAAACCCTCCCAGGGACCTCAAAATTCACCTCAGGGACCCCAAAAACCCTTTAAGGGATCCCCAAAACCACCTCAGGGACTTCCAAAACCCCATCAGGGTCCCAAAACCCCTCAGGGACCCCAAAACATCCTCAAGGACACCAAAACCCCCCTCAGGGACCCCCAAAATCCCCGTAAGGGACCCCAAAATCTCCTTAAGGGACCCCCAAACTCCCTCAGGGACCCCAAAATTCATCTCAGGGACCCCAAAAACCCTTTAAGGGACCCCCAAAACTCCCTCAGGGACCCCAAAATCCTTCCCAGGGACCCCCAAAACCCCCTCAGCGACCCCAAAAACCCTCCCAGGGACCCCAAAAACCCCCAAAGGGAACCCAAAAACCCTCCCAGGGACCCCCCAAAACCCCTTCAGGGTCCCAAAAACCCTCCCAGGGACCCCCAAAAACCCTCCCAGGGACCCCAAAAACCCTCCCAGGGACCCCAAACTCCCTCAGGGACCCCAAAAACCCCCAAAGGGATCCCAAAAACCCTCCCAGAGACCCCAAAATCCCCTCAGGGACCCCCAAAAAACCATCAGGGACCCCCAAAAACCCCTCAGGGACGTCCAAAACCCCATCAAGGACCCCAAACCCCCTCAGGGACCCCAAAAACCCTCCCAGGGACCCCCCAAAAACCCCTTCAGGGTCCCAAAACCCCTCAGGGACCCCCAAATCTCCTCCAATTCCCCCCCAGGACCCCCCAAATCCCCTCAAATCCCCCCAGGACCCCTCCAAGGCCCCTTTAACCCCCTCAAATCCTCCCCAAATCCCCCTAGGACCCCCAAACCCCCTCAAATCCTCCCCAAATCCCCTAACTTCCCCCAAATCCCCTTAAATCCCCCCGATCCCTCAAATCCCCCAAATCCCCTCCAACCCCTCTAGGACCCCCAAAGCCCCCAAATCCCCCAACCCCTCAAGTTCCCCCAGACCCCCCAAAATCCCCCTCTCACCACTCTGGTCTCGATCACCCTGGGTAGGGTCCCCGAGTCCCCAGGGACCCCAAATCCCCAAAATCCCCAAAATCCCCTCAAATCCCCAAATCCCTCAAAATCCCCAACAGGACCCTTTAACCCCCCAATTCCCCCCAAATCCCCCAAATCCCCCTCTCACCACTCTGGTCTCGATCAGCCTGGGCAGGGGCCCCCTGAGACCCCCAGGGACCCCCAAATCCCCCAAATCCCCAAAATTCCCCCAAACCCCCTCAAATCCCCAGGACCCCCAAACACCCCAAAATTCCCCAAATCCCCAAAAATCCTCCCCAAATCCCCCAAAACCCTCCAGGACCCTTTAACCCCCAAACCCCCAAAATCCCCCTCTCACCACTCTGGTCTCGATCAGCCTGGGCAGGGTCCCCCTGAGCCCCCAGGGACCCCCAAATCCCCAAAATCCTCCAAATCCCCTCCAGAATCCCCCAACCCCCCAAAATCCCCCCAAACCCCTCAATTCCCCCAAATCCCTCAAATCCCCCAGGACCCTTTAACCCCCAAATCCCCCAAAATCCCCTCTCACCACTCTGGTCTCGATCAGCCTGGGCAGGGCCCCCGAGCCCCCAGGGACCCCTAAATGCCCCAAAATCCCCCAAATCCCCAAAATCCCTCAAATCCCCCTAAAATCCCCTCAAATCCCCTAAAATCCCCCTCTCACCACTCTGGTCTCGATCAGCCTGGGCAGGGCCCCCAGAGCCCCCAGGGACCCCCAAATCCCCAAAATCCCCCAAATCCCCAAAATGCCCAAAAATCCTCAAATCCCCCAGGACCCCCAAAATCCCCCCCTCTCACCACTCTGGTCTCGATCAGCCTGGGCAGGGCCCCCCCCGAGCCCCCCAGGGACCCCCCCCGGGTTTTGGTGGCCACGAGGAGGGCGAGGTCCTGCAGGTACCACAGCAGGGCCTGGCAGCGCAGGTGGAGCAGAGAGACCCCCTGAAAACGGGGGGGGGACACCCCAAATACACCCAAAATACGTTTAAATCCGCTGAAATCCACCCAAAATCCACTTAAATCCACCCAAAATCCACTGAAATCCACCCCAAAGCCACTGGAATCCACCCAAAACCCACCCAAATCCACTGAAATCCACCCAAAATCCACTTAAATCCACCCAACATCCACTGAAATCCACCCAAATCCCACTTAAAACTGCTGAAATCCACCAAAAATCCACTTAAATCCACCCAAAATCCACTGAAATCCACCCAAAATCCACTGAAATCCACCCAAAAACTGCTTAAATCCACCCAAATCCCACTTAAATCCACCCAAAATCCACTTAAATCCACCCAAAATCCACTTAGATCCACCCAAAATCCACTTAGATCCACTCAAAATCCACTTAAATCCCCCCAAAATTGACTCAAATCCACTCAAAACCCACTTAAATCCACCCAAAAACTGCATAAATCCACCTCAAAGCCACTGAAATCCATCTAAATCCACTCAAAAACTGCATAAATTAACCTCAAAGCCACTGAAATCCACTGAAATCCCCCTCAAATCTATTTAAATTCACCCCAAAACTGCTTTAAATTCACCCAAAGTTAATGAAATCCACTGAAATCCACCCAAAATCCGCTTAAATCCACCCAAAATTGACTGAAATCCACCCCAAATCCCCCCAAATGCATTTAAATCCCCCCAGAACACCCCAAATCCCCCCAAAACACCCCAAATCTCCCCAAAACCCCCTTATATCCCCCCAAAATCCAGTTCAATTCCCCCAAAATCCATTTAAATTCCCCCAAAATTCATTTAAATCCCCCCAAAATCCATTAAAATCCCCCCCAATCCAGTTAAATCCACCCAAAATCCACTGAAATTCACCCAAAACCCACTGAAATCCACCCAAAATTCCCCCAATCCACTTAAATCCCCCAAAACCCCATTTTCACCCCTTTCCCCCCTTACAAAAATCACAAAAATAAAAAACAAAAAACCCAAAAAAACCCACACCGAAATTTCCCAAACCCCTCCAAAACCAATAATACCTAAAAAAACCCCCAAAAAACAACTAAAATAAAAATAAATTAATAAAAAAAATCCCCCTAAAATCCGGAAAATTTAAAAAAAAACCCCAAAAAAATCCTAAAAAAGAAAACCAAAGTAATCCACCACCCCCCCAAAAAACCCCCTCCAAAAAACATTTAAAAAATCCCTCAAAATCCCTTTTAATCCCGCAACCCCCTTTTAACCCTTTATAACCCTTTTTTAAACCCTTTTTAACCCATTTTTATCCCTTTTTAACCTTTACCTGCCGGCTCCGCAGCCGCCCCCCCCTCACGAGCCGCAGCATCTCCCGCCCGTGCGCCGCCACCTCCGCCACCTGCCGGACAGGGTTTTTTTGGGTCGCTTTCATCACATTTTGAATGTTTTTGGGTTTTTTTTGGTTTATTTTTAATTAATTCTCTCACCTGAGCCCGAAGCGTCTCCAGCAGCGAGACCGCCTCGCCCGCCGCCATCTTGAATCCTCCCCGTGAGGGGAGCGCGGCCTCGGCCAATCAGCGCCGAGCGCGCGAAATCCCGACCAATCAGATTAAAGACCCGCCCATTGACGCGCTGAGTGACGGGCGGGAGAACCAATCGTAACGCCGGGGTTGTAAAATCAGCCAATTAGCGAAGAGGGAGGGCGGGGCGTGCGGGTGATTGACAGTCGAGGCGGCCAATGGGAGGCGGGGATTCCGTGAGGGGAGGAGGTTTCGAAGCTCCGCGGGGTCCTCAAATCCCTTCCCGGGAGCCCCAAAAAACCCCAAAATACCCCCAAAAAACCCCAAAACCCCTCAAAACCCACACAAACCCGCCCAACACACCCCCGAAATAATCTCCGGGACTCTTAATCCACCCCAGGACCCTCAAAACCCACCCCGGGACCCCCCCAAAAAATCCTAAAACTCCCCAAAAACTGCCCCCAAAATCCCCAACCCCCAAAAAATCCTCAAACTCCCCAAAAACTGCCCCCCAAAATCCCCCAACCCCTCCAAAAATCCCCCAAAATCCCCAAAATCTCCAAAAATCCCCCAAAATCCCCCAACCCCCAAAAAATCCCCAAAGCCCCAAGAAGTCCCCAAGATCCCTAGACCCCCTAAAAGTCCCCAAGATCTCCAAAGATCGTCCATGAAATTCATCCAGAGCCTCCCCAAAAGTCCCCCAAGAGCCTCCCAAACACCCCGAAAGATCCCCCAAGATCCCCAGGCCCCCAAAGGTCTCTCAGAGAGTCGTTCCCAAAGAGTCCCACAGGCCCCAAAGGTCCCCAAAGATCTCCAAAGATCCTTTAAGAGTCTGCAAGCCCCCGAGTCATTTTAAGAGTCTCTAAGGCCACTAAAGGCACTTTAAAGTCACTAGGCCCACAGAGTTCCCCAGAAGTCTGCAAGATCACTACCAAGGCCCCACAGACCCCAGAAGATCCTCAAAGATCTCCAAAAGATCTTTCCCAAGAGCCCTAGATCGCTCACAGAAAGTCCTCAAAGTCATAGAGTCCCCAAAAGATCACCCCTAGGTCCCTAGGCCACTCCAAAAATGTACCTAAGATCTCCCAAAGATCCTGAGAAGTCCTCCAAGAGATCATCAAGATCCTCCCAGGCTCCCATGAAGATCACTCCCAAAAATCCCAAACGCCCCCAAGATCCCCAAAAATCCCCCAACCCCTCAAAGGCCCCCAAGACCCCAAAAATCCCCGAGGCTCCCCAAGAAATGCCCCAAAGTCCCCAAGCCCATCCAAAAATCGACTCAAAACCCCCAAATCCCCTTCAAGGTCTCCAAAAGATTCCCCCAAAAATCCCTCAAAACCCCCATAAGAATTTCCCCAAAAATCCCCCAAATCCCCCCCAAAATCTCAAACCCCCCAAAAATCCCCAAAACCCCCAAACCCAACCCCACCCCCAAAACAAACCCCCTTCCAAAACACCCTCCAAAAATCCTTTATTTTAATTCTTTTTTTTTTTCCTTTTTTGGGACCCAAAAAACCACAAAAAAAAAAAAAAAAAAAGAGGCAGGGAAAACAAAAAGTGGGCGTGGCTTCCGAACAGGGTGGGCGTGGCTTAGGGGCGGGGTGGGCGTGGCTCAGCGCCGCCCCCTGTCCCTGAGGGGGCTGCGGGAGCGGCTGCGGCGTTTCCGGTGCCCGCCAGGGGGCGCCCTCGATGATGACGTCGAAGCCCCGCCCCCTTTGCGCAAGGAGGGGGCGGAGCCGTCGCGGGAGGAAGGGGCGGGGTTTGCGGCGGGAGGGGCGGGGTTTGCGGAGGGGCGGGGCCCGATTGGCGCTGCCGAAGCTCCTCCTCCTCCTGCTCCTTCCGGCGCCGCTCCCGCTCCCGCGCCCGAGCCGCCCGCTCCGCCTGCTTCTGGACGAACTGAGTATGCAAATTTATGTTAATTAGATGTTAATTTATGGGCTAAGAAAATGTCCATACCCGCCGCCCATTGGTCCTCGGAGCTCACCCCCGAATTCCTGCTTTTTACCCAAAAAAAATCGAATTTTTTACCAAAATTTAAGGGAATTTCACCCCGAAAATTGAATTTTTTAGTAAAATTTAAAGCAATTTCATCCCAAAATTTGAATTTTTTAGTAAAACTTAGGAGAATTTCACCCCAAAATTTGAAGATTTTTAGCAAAATTTGACAGAATTTCACCCCAAAATTTGAATTTTTTAGTAAAACTTAGGAGAATTTCACCCCAAAATTTGAAGATTTTTAGCAAAATTTAAAAGAATTTCACCCCAAAATTTGAAATTTTTTAGTAAAATTTGACAGAATTTCATCCCAAAATTTGAATTTTTTAGTAAAATTTAAGGGAATTTCACCCCAAAATTTGAATTTTTTAGGAAAATTTAAGGGAATTTCACCCCAAAATTTGAATTCTTGTTTTCCCAAATTTGACCCAAAATTCCACATTTCCACCCAAATCTCAACCCAAATTTCCTCTTCCTGCTTCTGAACGAACTGGGGATGCAAATTTAGGCTAATTAGATGCTAATTAGGCTCCCATAGGGCTTTCACAGCACAACCCCAAAATTTGAATTTTTTTTCCCCCAAAAATTTGAAATTTTTGGAGTGAAATTTATGGCGATTTTTGCCCCAAATTCACCCGAAATTCGATTTTTGTTTCCTCAAAGAACTCCCCAGAATTTGACCCAAATTTCCCCCCCAAATATCCACAATTTTTCCCCCAAACTTTCCACATTCTCCACCCAAACTTTAACCAAATTTTTGGTTTTTTCATAAAATTCCACAAAATTTCACCCAACTTTTCCTCAAAATTTCTACATTTCCACCCCAAATCTCTACGTTTTTACCCCAAATTTAAAGGATGTTTGTTATTTAGTTCAGATTCTTGTTCTCCTTAAAATTCCCTCAAATTTGACCCAAAATTCCCAATTTCCCCCTTAAATTTCCACATTTTCCACAAATCCGACTCAAATTCTCATTTTCCCCAGAATTTCCCCGATTTGACCCAAATTCCCACATTTTCCCCAGATTTTGACCCAAATTTCCTTTTCCTGCTTCTGGACGAACTAAACATGCAAATTTAGGCTAATTAGATGCTAATTAGTTACCTGAGAACACGCCCACGCCTGCCCCTCATTGGCCCTCGGAGCTCATCCCAAAATTCCGCTTTTTACCCCAAAATTTCAAATTTTTTTTACCAAAATTTCAAATAAATCGGACCCAAATTTGACTCAAAATCTCCTTTTTTCCCCCCAAAATTTCACCCAAAATTCCACATTTTCCCCCCAAATTTTGACCCAAATTTCCTCTTCCTGCTTCTGCACGAACTGGGTATGCAAGTGTATGCTAATTAGATGCTAATTAGTCACCTTAGGACACGCCCACACCTGCCCCTCATTGGTCCTCAGAGCTCACCCCTAAATTTCGGCTTTTTACCCCCAAAACATTGAATTTTTTAGCAAAATTTAAGGCACTTTCACCCCAAAATTTGAATTTTTTGGTAAAAACTTAAAGCAATTTCACCGCAAAATTCAAATTTTTTAGTAAAATTTAACAGAATTTTACCCCAGAATTGAAATTAAGTTCCTTTTTCCCCAAAAAATTTAACCCAAATTTCCACACTTTCCCCCCAAATTTCCTCTTCCTGCTTCTGCATGAGCTATGCAAATTTATGCTAATTAGATGCTAATTAGTCACCTCAGGACACGCCCACGCCCGCCTCCCATTGGCCCTCGGAGTTCACCCTGAAATTCCCACTTTTTACCCAAAAAAATTGGAATTTTTTAGTAAAATTTAAGGGAATTTTCCCCCAAAATTTCAATTTTTAGTAAAAATTTAAAGGAATTTCACCCCAAAATTTGAATTAAATTCTCACTTTTTTCCCCAAATTCAACACAGAAGTCCCACATTTTCCCCCCAAATTTTGACCCAAATTTCCTCCACCTGCTTCTGCACAAACTATGCAAATTTAAGCTAATTAGATGCTAATTAGGTTCCCGTGGAACTCCCAGAGCACACCCCCAAAATTTTTATTTTTTTTCCCCCAAAATCTGAAATTTTTTGAGTGAAATTTCAGGTGATTTTTGCCCCAAATTTGCTCAAAATTCGAATTTTTTCTCAAAAAATTCCACTGAATTTGACCCAAATTTCCCCTTTTTCTACGTAGATTTCTAAATTTTTCCCCCCCACCAAATTTCTGCATTTTTATCCCAAATTTCCAGATTTCTCCTCTAAATATCCAGGCTTTCTTAAAATTTGACCCAAATTCTTGTTTTTCCCCAGAATTTCCACGATTTGTCCCAAATTCCCACATTTTCCCCAGGTTTTAACCCAAACTTCCTTCTGCACAAACGAATCCGGTAAATTTTTGCTAATTAGATGCTAATTAAGCACTGCAAGACACGCCCACACCCGCCACCCATTGGCCCTCAGAGCTCACCCCCAAATTCCAACTTTTTACCCCAAAAATTTGTATTTTTTTAATTTTTTTACCCCAATTTTGCCCCAAATTTCATTTTTGTTCTCTCAAAAAAATTTCTTAAAATTTCACCCAAATTTTCCCCCAAAATCTCCACACTTGCCCCCCAAATTTCTACATTTTTACCCCAAATTTACAGGTTTTCCATGAATTTGATCTAAATTCCCATTTCCCTCAAAATTCCCCTGATTTAACCCAAATTTTTACATTTCCCCCCAAAATTCCCACGTTTTGTCTAAACTTCAATCAATCTCTCATTTTTTTTTCCCAAATTTTATTATTTTTTCCCTCAAATCCCACTCTTTTTCGGCCCAAATTTCACCATTTTTTATTGCCAAAATTTCCCCCTGTTTTAGCCCAAATCTCCTCATTTTTTGGCCCAAATCCCAACACTTTGTGGCCCAAACTTCACCCTTTTTTGCCCCAAATTTCACCTTTTTTTTGGCCCAAATTTCCCCCTTTTTTTGCTCAAATTTTATCATTTTTTTTCCCCAAATCCCATCCTTTTTTTGCCCAATTTCCACCATTTTCTCTCTCAAATGTAATAATTTTTTCACCCAAATCCCACCATTTTTTGGCCCAAATTTCACCCCTTTTTGGCCCAAATCTCATTATTTTTTTCACCCAAACCCCATCATTTTTTCCCCAAAATTCCCTCATTTTTTCCCCCAAACTGCACCACTTTTTCCCTCAAATTTCACCCCTTTTTGGCCCAAACTTTATTATTTTTTCACCCAACAATCCCACCATTTTTTGACCCAAATCCCATCATTTTTTCACCCAAACCCCATCATTTTTTCCCCAAAATTCCCTCATTTTTTCCCCCAATCTGCACCATTTTTTCCCTCAAATCTCAACTTTTTTTGGCCCAACTTTCACCTTTTTTTTGGCCCAAACTTCTCCCTTTTTTTGCTCAAACTTTATCATTTTTTTCCCCAAATCCCATCATTTTTTTGCCCGATTTCCACCATTTTCTCTCTCAAATACAATAATTTTTTCACCCAAATCCCACCACTTTTTAGCCCAAATTTTACCTCTTTTTTGCCCAAAATTTCATCATTTTTTCCCCCAAACTGCACCATTTTTTCCCTCAAATTTCCCCTTTTTTTGGCCCAAATTTTATCATTTTTTTACCCAAAAATCCCATCATTTTTTGACCCAAATCCCATCATTTTTTCACCCAAATCCCATTATTTTTCACCCAAATCCCATTTTTTCACCCAAATCCCACCCTTTTTCACCCCAAATTTCCCCCTTAACCTCCCCCTTTAACCCCACCCCCTTCCCTTCCCCCCAGCCAATCCCTTTGCCGTATGCAAATGTATGCAAATGAGGCCCCGCCCACCTGGGTGTCGGTGAGGGGCAGCCAATAAATGCACGGGGCCGCCTTGGTTTTCCGGAAAAGATCGTCCAGGAGCTTCGCTGGGGGCTCCTCCGGGGCTTTGTCTGCCCAAAAACACCCAAAATCCACTTAAATTCACCCAAAATGGACTTCATTTGATGAAAATCCACCCAAAATTCACCCAAATCCACTCAAAATCCACCCAAATCCACTCAAAATCCATGAAAATCCACCCAAAATCCTCATAAATCCACTCAAAATTCACCCAAAATGGATTTCATTTGATGAAAATCCACCCAAAAATCGCCCAAATCCACCCAAAATCCCTCAAAATTCACCCAAAATGGATTTCATTTGACCAAAATCCACCCGAAATCCACCCGAAATCCACTCAAAATCCACATAAATCCACCCAAAATTCGCCCAAATCCACCCAAAACCCACATAAATCCGCTCAAAATTCACCCAAAATGGATTTCATTTGACCAAAATCCACCCGAAATCCACCCGAAATCCACTCAAAATCCACATAAATCCACTCAAAATTCACCCAAGTCCACCCAAAATCCACATAAATCCACTCAAAATTCACCCAAATCCACCCAAAATCCACTCAAAATTCACCCAAATCCACCCAAAATCCACTCAAAATTCACCCAAATCCCACATAAATCCACTCAAAATTCACCCAAAATCCACCCAAAATCCACATAAATCCACCCAATTCCACCCAAAATCCACTAAAAATTCACCCAAATCCACCCCCTTTCCCCCCAAATTTCCATCCCAAATTTTGACCCCAAATCCCTCTCGTTTTCCCCCAAATTTTCACCCAAAACCCCCCCATTTTTCCCCAGATTTCCCCCCCCAAATCCCCTCTTTTTTCCCCTCCAAACTCCCCTCTTTTTCCCCCAAAATCCCCTCATTTTCCCCCAAATCTCCCCATTTTTCCCCAAATATTCCCCCAATTTCTCCCCAATTTTTCCCCAACTTTCCCTCCCCAATCCCCCCCATTTCCCCCCCAAATTTCCCTCCCAAATCCCTCATTTTCCCCTAAATTTTCCCCTATTTTTCTCCAAAATCTCCCCAACTTTCCCTCCCAAATCCCAATTTTTACCCAAATTTCCCCCAAATCCCCCCATTTTCCCCTAAATATTCCCCCAATTTCCTCCCAAATCCCCCTAATTTTTACCCAAATTTCCCTCCCAAATCCCCCCAATTTCTACCCAAATTTTCCTCCCGAATCCTCCCAAATTTCCTTCCCAAGTCCCCCCCATTTTTACCCAAATTTCACCCAATTTTCCCTCCCAAATCCACCCAATTTTCCCTCATTTTCCTCCAAATTTCCCCCAAATCCTCCCAATTTTCCCCCAAATTTCCCCCAAATCCCCCATATTTTCCCCATTTTTACCCAAATTTCCCCCCAAATTCCTCTGGTTTTTCCTCCAAATTTCTATCCATTTTCCGCCAAAATTTCCCTCCCAAATCCCCCCAATTTTTACCCCAATTTTCCCTCCCAAATCCACCCAATTTTCCCCCATTTTCCTCCAAATTTCCCTCCTAAATCCTCTCAATTTTTCCCCAATTTTCCCTCACAAATTTCCCTCCCAAATCCCCCCAATTTTTACCCAAATTTCTCCCCAAATTCCCGTTTTCCCCACATTTTCCCCCAATTTTCCCCAAATTTCCTCCCAAATCCCCCAAATTTCCCAATTTTCCCTCCCAAATCCACCCCATTTTCCCCCATTTCCCTCCAAATTTCCCCCCCAAATCCTCCCCATTTCCCCCAAATATTCCCCCAATCTCCCCCCATATTTTCCCCCAATTTTCCTCCAAATTTTCCCCCCACATCCTCCCAATTTTCCCCCAATTTCCCTCCCAAATCCCCCAAATTTTCCCCAAATTCCTCTCCCAAATCCCCCCATTTTCCCCCAAATATTCTCCCAATTTCTCCCCAATTTTCCTCCCAAATCCCACCAAATTTCCTCCCAAATCCCCCCAAATTTCCCCCAATTTTCCCCCAAATTTCCCTCCCAAGTCCCCCTAATTTTTACCCAAATTTCCCTCCCAAATATTATCCAATTTCCCCCCACATTTTTCCCCCATTTTACCCAAATTTCCCCCCAAATTTCCCCTCCCAAATCCCCCAAATTTCCCCAAATATTCCCCCAATTTCCCCAATTTTTCTCCAAATTTTCCCCACATCCCCCGATTTTTACCCAAATTTCCTTCCCAAATCCCCCAAATTTCCTTCCCAAGTCCCCCATTTTTACCCAAATTTCACCCAATTTTCCTCCCAAATCTCCCTATTTCCCCAAATATTCCCCCCATCTCCCCCAATATTTTCCTCCATTTTTACCCAAATTTTCCCCATTTTACCCCCAATTTCCCTCCCAAATCCCCCAAATCCCCCCAAACCCTCCCTCTCACCTCTCTTCTCGGGCCTCGCCTCCCTCAGGCCCCGCCCCTTCTCTTTGTCCCCACCCCCTTGGGGCCTGGCCCGCTGGCCCCGCCCCTCTCTGGGGGCGTGTCCTGCCGTGGCCCCTCCCCGCGGGGTGGGCGTGTCCCGGGGAGGGGGCGGGGCTCTTGCCCCGATCCCATTCCCGCTCGGCCCGCGCCCGTTCCCGCCGGGATCGCTCCCGCTCCCGCTCCGCCCACTGCCAGGGGGCGTGGCCGAGGGGGACACGCCCCCGGGAGGGGGAGGGCCGCCCAGGGGCGGGGCGTGGGGAGGGTGGGGAGGGGCGGGGGTCGGGTCCTTCCCCTGCTCCGGGGGGGAGGAGGCCCCGGTGGAGGTCGAGCTGTGGGGGGAGGGGAGAGGGGAAAAAAAAGGGGGGAAAAGTCATGAAAATGGACACAAAAAACATCAGAAATGAGCTCAAAAATGACACCAGAAATGACCCCAAATGAGCCCAAAAATGACCCCAGAAATACTACACAAAGAATGACCCAAAATACACCACAAATGAGCCCAAAAATACACAGAAATTACATAAAGAATGACCTCAAAATAACCCCTAATAAGCCCAAAAATGACCCCAGAAATGCACAGGAATTACACAAAGAATGGCCCCAAAATGAGCCCAAATGAGCCCAAAAATGACCCCAGAAATGCTACACAAAAAATGACCCAAAAAACACCCCAAATGAGCCCAAAAATGCACAGAAATTACACAAAAAATGACCAAAAATACACCCCAAATGAGCCCAAAAATGACCCAAAATGATCCCAAATGAGCCCAAAAATGACACCAGAAATGCAGAGAAATTACACAAAGAATGACCCCAAAATGACCCCTAATAAGCCCAAAAATGAGCCCAAAAATGCACAGAAATTACACAAAAAAATGACCCCAAAATGACCCCTAATAAGCCCAAAAATGACCCCAAAAATGAACAAGAATTACCCAAAAAATAGCTCCAAACAAGTCATAAATGACCCCAAAAATGCACAGGAATTACACAAAAAATGAGCCCAAAAATGCACAGGAATTACCCAAAGAATGAACCCAAAATGACCCCAAATGAGCCCAAAATTGCACAGGAATTACCCAAAAAAAAGCCCCAAAATGACCGCAAAAAAAGCCATAAATGAGCCCAAAAATGCACAAGTATTACCCGAAAAATGACCCCAAAAATGCACAGGAACTACCCAAAAAAATGACCCCAAATGAGCCCAAATGAGCCCAAAAATGACCCCAAAAATGACCCCAAAAATTACCCAAAAAATGACCCCAAAAATGAACAGGAATTACACAAAAATGACCCCAAAGGAGCCCAAAAATGACCCCAGAAATGCACAGGAATTACCCAAAAAATGGCCCCAAAATGATCCCAAATGAGCCCAAAAATGACTCCAAAAATGAACAGGAATTACCCAAAAAACAACCCAAAAACGACCCCCAAAACGCACAAAAATTACCCAAAAAATGACCCCAAAAAATGACCCCAAAAATGCACAGAAATTACCCAAAAATGACCCCAAATGAGCCCAAAAATGACCCCAGAAAAGCACAGGAATTACCTAAAAAATGACCCCAAAATGATCCCAAATTAGCCCAACAATGACCCCAAAAATGCACAGGAATTACCCAAAAAAATGACCCCAAAATGACCCCTAATAAGCCCAAAAATGAGCCCAAAAATGCACAGAAATTACACAAAAAATGACCCCAAAATGTCCCCAAATGAGCCCAAAAATGACCCCAGAAATGCTACACAAAAAATGACCCAAAAAACACCCCAAATGAGCCCAAAAATGCACAGAAATTACACAAAGAATGACCAAAAATACACCACAAATGAGCCCAAAAATGACCCCAAAATGACCCCAAATGAGCCCAAAAATGACCCCAGAAATGCACAGGAATTACATAAAGAATGACCAAAAATACACCACAAATGAGCCCAAAAATGACCCCAGAAATGCACAGGAATTACATAAAAAATGGTCCCAAAATGACCCTAAAAACCCATAAATGACTCCCAAAATGCACAGAAAT